AAAAGAAAAGATATAATCACTTCATCAGCCCACACGATTATATCCGCAAAAAGAGTGCTTTCTGATATTGTATCAATATAGCCAAAGCAAAATATAGCAATACAATAGTGTGAGGAGCACTCAAAAATTTTTTTACAAATATTACAGCAAATAAAATAGAACACAATAAGTAAAAATAACACGTAAAAAAAGAAAATAAAATAAAAGAAAAAGAAAAAAACAGAATAAAACATAAAACATAATCTATAAAGCGAATAGACTATATATATGTATATATACACAGAGAGAGAGAACCTGTTTATCTCGAATCTCACTGGAAAGGCGAAAAATTTGAGGTTTCGAGTTACACGGGTACTTTAAAAAAATTAAATTTAATTAAGAAATTCTATTAAAAGTGCTTAAATTGTTTTTAGTAGAAAAATATACGCATTTCTTTAAATTAATTATCCCACATACATCTATTTACGCAAAATTTTTTAACATGCATTTAACACTGATATGGAAGGTAAACATTGTTCCCAATCAGCAGGAAAATTGTTTTCGAAAGAATTGGCTGATAAACATTGTTCCCAACGGACATTTTATATAATGAAATTAATCAATAGATTAAATTATTTCAACCTACAATTTTTACTAATGCCGTGATATCCAACTTGTTTTTACTTATTGGAACAATCTTATAAAAATATTTTGAGTGGTAGTAAATTTTATGATTCAACATTTTATTATTGACTCAATAAATTTAATTTAATGATTTTTTCCACTTCTAAAATCAAAAAACATCTATTTACACCCATCAATTACGCAAAAAAGTTTTTAAGTGCGTTCAAAACTAAATAAATTAAATTTAACTTAAATTACTTTTTGGCTAAAGCTTTCAATGTTCTAGGATTGCGATTTTCCAATACAATGGCGCTTAAGGACTCGCATTTCTCTAAAATAAAAATAAAAATTAAAAATTTATATAAAAAAAAATTTAAAAAAAACTTTTTCGTTCTCTTAGTTAAAAATTTTTAAAAGTAATTAAAGCTTGTGTAATAATTGGCATTTAATACAGCCAAGATTAAAATCTCCAAAAGCGAGAGCAAGTCGTTAAAAATCGCTGGATTGTAAATTAGCTTCCAGGTCGGTAGCTATGCATTCAATCACCTTCACCTTTTTGTTCAATGTTTCAAAGCAACAGCACTGTCATTGATATTAGTCATAGAAATCTTATTCTTTTACATAGTTTGGATCCGATTTTCGTAATAATATACTAATATTTCCTCACTATATGTATTAATTATATCCTTGTTGTTATCATAGGCCAATAAGGCAAGGGACGTGTTTTTGTTTTCCAGTAGCGCCATCTATGGCCAAGCATTCGTCTTCTGTTACACTTATACGTCATACCCGTTTATATCGCAAACCCATTCACACTCCCATTCATTGATCTGCAGATCGTAATTTTCACCTGAACCAGAGAGCGATCAATCTCCAATTCAGTACCCCAGAGGTATAATTTGCTATGGAAACATGGTGGACTTAGTGACACAACAGATGTAACGTGCAATAGTCACCATTTACTACACGGGGAGTCTTCGGCCGGCTGGATTCGAACTCACTGTTTAACGAACGGGAGTCCAGTGCCCTGCCAACTAGGCTATCCCGGGCAATTTTTTTCCTTTCTTTAAGTTTCTTCTTTTCTAATTTCCTTTTTTTTCTAACTTCTTTTCTAATTTATTTTAGGTTTCACAATTTTATTGGGACAGTTTAAAGTAACGTCTACAATAATGAACAAAATAGAAATTTTGCATGTATGTTGATATTTCTGGGTCCTGATATTTCTGGGTTCTGCCTATCTGTATTGATAAATCATGACTGGGTATTTTATGGGTCAAATATATTGAAAGGTTGGGCAAAAATATGGAAGCACTTCTATATTTTTGCCATTCAATAGTTTTGCCATGGAAAATCTTCTAATACATTTACAATAAAAAGAAAGCTTGTTTACATGAATTAAGTATAGAGTTATTTCCATATTTTTGTCTGACCCCTGCATACTTAATTTTATGACTTATTATTTTGTTTATTCATGTGTTGCAGCTACTGCAAGGAAACAAATGCTTTTCAGAGTGTTAAACAGACATTTCCTACGTATTTTAGATAAATCACTTGAAATTTAAAACAGTTTAAAGGTTATTTTAAAGAAATTTCACTAGTTTTGCACGAACAACAGCTGAAGTTGTAGAAACAAACCAAACTATTCAAAATAATAATTTTTTTCCAGAAATAAATACTGTTTCACTGTTAATGTTATAAATCCCTTTGGTCTTTCAGTACTGACAGCAGCAACAGAAGGTGCCTTTAAGAAACTAAAAGTTGAGACAAGTCCAACTTTAGTAACGTCTGCGAGCAGTCTCACACCCCCTACCACAACGCCCGGAGCGACAGCAAGCACTTGTCCCCCGACGCCAGCCCGACGTCGGCACAGGACCACCTTCACACAAGAGCAACTTCAAGAGCTAGAAGCCGCTTTTGCCAAGTCACACTATCCAGACATCTACTGTCGAGAAGAGCTTGCAAGGATTACGAAGTTAAACGAAGCGCGCATACAGGCAAGTCACATTCTTACCATAAGTTTTAAATTATGAAATGTGGAGTATAAAGAGAATTCAATGGACAACATGTGATCTTATTCATTTTGTGACGTAGCAAATTTATGCCACGCTTATAAGCAAAACGTCAATATTTACCTCAACTTAGTTCCAAATCTAAACCAAAATTTATTTTGAAACGTGCTTGTTATCTTCGCACATACACAAACAGGCAGATCTCTTTACGTAAGAGGCACGGTTGATCCTCTTTCCTGACTTAGGATCAACAAATGTTGAAGCAATTATTTGCATCGAGAACGAAACAGTTCAAAGACTCAGACCATCTGCGTTGTCCATTGCTTCTCATATTAACTATTTAAACGCGAAGGTTCCATTTTTAACACTTGTCTCGCCACATAAAGCGCAAAAACTAATATGCGAACAGCATAAGAAATGGACTTTTCCTATAAATCACAATAGGTTAATCTCGGTGCCGTTCTGCAGGGTGTCTCGGCTATCGTTTCACCATATCTTTTTTAAGTCATACACTGAAATTGGGGGCTACGACTAATGTTTATCCCCACAATTCATTTGTACTGATGTATGTATTATCTTTCACATATCTCACTCGAGTTAAAGAACTATGACAAAAGCTTCGAAACTGTCCAAAGTAGAATTTGCGAACAAGAAAGTTAATGGAGCCGGTTACCCCACTGCTCTGCTTTTTAATTCCGTGTTGAAAGCTTTTCCCTTAAAGCGAGATTTTTTATTGTTATTTGAATTACGTTGTTAGTATTTTGAACTCAATTTTCCGTTTATTAAGACAATGACAAATTGGCATAGAAGAGAGTTGCTTAAATCGTACCACTTTTCACTCTTTGATTTTTAACACTCACAAATCATTGACAAAATTACATTTGAAACATTTTAATAATAGAAAGTTATTTAGATACTAACATTATTTTTTGATAACATTATCTGTGAAGTAAGTACTGAAAATTAATTATTTTTGCAAATTTTGCAAATGGAACGATTTAGGAGATCAGTTGCCTAATTCGTACCACCAGCTTCCTAAATCGTACCGTTCTAGGATAATTTAAGCAAGATGATTAAGCAAATAAATAGGCAATAATCCACAAACCAAACCAAAACAAGTGCATTGTATTATAACGTAAAATACAATTCTGCATATTCAGACAATACAAAATTATAACGTAAAATACAATTCTACCTAATGTAAAATACAATTCTACATATTCTTCAAAGTTCAGAAAAGGGTATTATATGTCAAAAAAATTATCATAAAACATGACAGTTTGTTACTAGAAAGCTCAAGCATGACTTTTACTTGTAAACAAAAACATAATTATAAAAACAATCATTACTTATAAAACAAATTATTTCGTTCAATATTTGATTGGCATATGGTTCAGTTATATTTTAGGTACATCATACAAAATTCTTCTTTTTTTTAACTTTTGCCTGGCTCATTTTTTATGAACCTAAGTTCTACACAGCAAACATTGCATCATATCTTTAACTCAACAAACCTCACACTCAAAGCAAACTATTCGTCAGGATTGGTCAGGTCATTCTGTAAAAAAGTAAATCCCTGGTTTAATACACCTAACTTGGAGTTGCTTTCTTTAATTTTAGTTTACCATTTTTTTTAAAACTGTATTTGAGAGTTTTTGATTTACTTCTCTATAATCATCTCCAACTCCTCTATAATCCTTTTTCTTCGACGAGCTTAATTTGAATCGATGGTTCCAGTTTATTTTTATAATTCCAGTCCTGCTAATTATAACCCAGATGCTTGTTAAAACAACAACTCCTTATGTTTTAGAAGCAACTTTTCTCCTCTTAGGTTTTGGAATCATAGAAATTGATTCTATCGAAACCATCAGTGCAAATAAAGGCATTAAAGCAAATTGGTCTGTTAAATCCCTAAAAGAACGTTTGTCTATTAGTGTCACAAGGAGTTTCATCATTTGGATCCGATTAATTCGTCCCCATGACACTAATTTCACCTGGCAAAAATTCACTTTTATTAAAAACTTGTGGATCAATGAGCCACACACCAAAGCACTTAAATCCTTGAAGAGAATTTTTGAATTGTTCTTACCTCATTTTAAACATCGATCACTAGATTCGAATCTTGGTACCGTGTATTAACCAGCACAGATTAACTTCGAAACCACTTTTCGACTGCTGTGCTTGAAAGAAGAGCTTAAAAAGTAGTTTGTCCAGCGGTTGAAGTAGATGCGCCGTGTAGTCTGGTAGCTATAACATAATTTATTCAGCATTCCTGACCAATTCCAAGGCGTCTACATTTTTTGAATGAGTCAAATGACCATCTAAAAAAGTAGAACTTGCATTATACGGGAACAGGTAGGCAAACTTGTATTTTATTAAATGAGTAATCAAAAGTGCTTTTTGATTTCAAAAATTTCAATCCTGTACAAACAATAGAACTTTTTTAATGTTGGCAGAATTGTTGGAAGAAATTAAAATTATATGGCATATTTGTTTTAAATATATATAAATTAAAACAAATCATATTACTAAAAGAAATTAAACTTATATGGCAGATGTGCACTTTGGAATAGGCTCTTGAATCGTACCCGTACGATTTAGGATTTCAACTAGAGATAGTAAAATTTAAGCACTTTTAGAGGTAGTACAGTTTAGGTAGTACAATTTAGGCGTCACTTTTTAATACGTCACTTAATAACGTCACTTTATTTTTTTACGTCACTTCATAAAATAGTTAGCTGCCGAAGAAACAAGTATAACATAAATAAATAAATTGTTTGGCAATTATCAGACACATTTAATAGTTTGAATACAATAATAGGTCTAATATATCCTTACAAAGAGTGTTCAAAAATTACTTTGAAAACTTGTAAAGCCAATAAATTTAAATAAAAATTTAACGCGTCCACAGCGACATGATTCTACTGCCTGATGAATATATTCACGAGTTCTAATTTATGCGCTAGGGGATAGAAATCATTGTACGATTTAGGAAAGGTACGATTTAGGCAACTTTCCTTTAATTAATTAAAATTAGAAAATGAATAGACAGTGTGCGTTGAGAAGTCTTTGTTACTGTGATAGCAGTATTTAACTACATTAGGTTACATTTTATTTTTCCAGACAATTACGCCAAAGATCTATTTAACAAGAAAATTAATTTGATATTTTATCAAAAAATTTATTGTTTACTTGCAATAATTTAAGTAATAACATTATAATAATTAAATAATAACATTATAATAACTAAATAATAACATTATAATAGCTAAATAATAACATTGTAGTAACTAAATAATAATACTAATAATAACTTAACAATAATAACTAAGTAAAACTAATATAATATTCAAAATTTATCTATTTCATGAAATGCATTGTCATTTAGCAATATTTCTGCGTCAATTTCTAATGCTAATTCAAATTTTTTTAAGTAATTTTTTTTAAATTATTGTCCACTTTAATTGATATTTTACTATTACTTTTGAATCTGAGTAATATTTTAAATTTAAATGCTGGTACGCATTAAAGTCTTTACAGTTTCAATGTGAAATTTTATTTTTATATTTAAAGTTCTAAGCATGCTATTTCTAATTAAATCTCGGAGTTATGAATTTTAGTTAAAATGATTTCGACCATTTCTATATGTAGGTAAATTAAACATACTTATCAAGGTTTGAAAATCACGTGATAGTATTTTTACCTGCTGTGAAATAAATAAAAAAACTATTTCTTCGTACAATTGTAATTCTATCGCTGTTCTATTACCACTCTTGGGGAAAATCCTTATCCTCGGAAAGCGTGAGAGTTAGCAGGAGTAGTAGTAAAATATCAAATTACACTAATGATTTTTCTAGCGTTAAAAAAAGAAGAAAAAACATGATTTGCAGGACCTTTAAACAACAATTAAGATTGGCAGACGTTTTTCTTCTTTAAATCTTTAAATTAATTGTAAGATTCAATGCAATGTCTGTGTATTTTAATAAGTCGTCGTAGTCAAAATCGATTAAAATAAAATTTACCATACCGAGTATCAAACGTAAATACACAAATCAAATCTTGCTCCATTGTAAAAAAAAATAATAAAAATATACAAAAAATCCCTGAGCGTTTCTGAATATGTAGGACAGCTATGGTGCATGTAGTTTACAAACACGTTTCTGAATATTTTCGAAAACCTCTTTCTATAATATTCTGAAGCATTTCGCAGTTCTTCAGAAATATTTTCAATCATATCTTACAGTTTTGGAAGAGAAAAATTTTTTTAAATCATACCGAACTTAATTATATCATACCAAGCATCAAATGTTAATACACAAATCTTGCTCCACTGTAAAAAAAAAAAAATATTCCGGAACGTTTCTGAATATGTGGGGCAGCTATGGTGCATGTAGTTTACAAACACTTGTCTAAATATTTTCGAGAACCTCTTTCGATAATATTCTGAAACATTCCGCAGTACTTCAGAAATATTTTGAATCATATTTTACAGTTTTGGAAATATATTGAATATATATATGAAGCATTATTTTAATATTTCGTAAGCCTCTTGTGGTATCTATCAACCTACAATGTAAAGCGTTATCTATCAAAGTAGTTTCTCAAATTTGTTAAGAGTTATTATGTTTTATATACTAGTAAATTAGAATTTAATAGTTGACTCTTTGACGCTACACTTCGAAACTAAATTAGCGTTAATGCCATTCAGTTTCCTACTTTTTAAGATGAAAGAAATGTTTCTCGTTGATCGGAAACAGAATATATGATATTAAATTAAATTCTCTGAGATTTTTGGAAACTTTTTTGTCGTGTCAAAATAAGTTTCTGAAATTTTTTACAGTGTGGAAAAGTAAATAATCTAAAATATCTCTATCTTTTGATTGGAAAAGTGAGCAAATCCGTGTTTACTAAAGTAAACACGGATTTGCTATAAAGTAAACTAGCTATAGAAAGAGGTGCGAAATTGCTTCGCTTTTTCTGCAATA